TCCCAACAGGATTACGTTCTAAAAAATCGAAGAAGCACCGCCCTCCGAATCTCAAGAGCCAGACTCCCAACATGATTACTTTCTCAAAAATCGAAGAGACACTACTCTTCAAATCTCAAGAGTCAGACTCCCAACATGATTGCTTTCTAAAAAATCGAAGGGGCACCATTCTCTGAATCTCGAGAGCCAGATCTCCGACAGGATTGCTTGTTCGAAATCGAAGAGGCACCGCTCTCCGAACTTCGAGAGCCAGATTTCCTTGGATAAAACTTGTCTGCAATCTTCACACGCAACATCAGTTTTCCAGATACCACAGACCATTTTTTTTCAAAGTGCTCTGACAAAGTTAAAACATGTGAAGCTTGCAGCTCCCACTACATTGCTATGACCAAAAAGGGTAAAGGAATTACACTACTACTTGTTGTTAGGGAGACTTCTATATATGTCGACCTCCATCCTCCACAGCCAGGCAAACCTGCAAATAAAAAAAATGCTCAACGTTTCTTCACATCCGAGAGGGCACTCTCAGCAGAGTCTCTCGAAATACTCAGTTTCTTTTCCTCTCGATAATACCTCTGCAAACAAGTCACACCAGAGCAAGAGTATCTCATATCATCAAGGCTAAAAGCAAGAGTATCCCATATCATGTTTTTTCTCTGTCTTTTCCCTTGGCCTTATTCTTACCTGCAAGACAAGGAGAAAGAAAGCAATCAGTCAGCATTTGGAATCAAGCTTCCAGTCAGGAACTGACTGCCTAGAACCCCTTGCCTGATTACTTACCTTACATTGCTGTCGAGTACTCATCTTCAACATCTTATGCTTCCATAGAAAATACCACCCCTGCTTGAGGAACAGATAGGGCAAGTGAGAAGGATACATGGAAGCATGTGGACACAAGCGTAACAGAACACGTGCCGATACATCCACTACTTTGTCAACAACAAAAGTATCCCATATCATCAGGGTCGAACGTATTCTAGATTTGATGGACTTGTTTTGACCCTCAAATTCTTGAGTCGGCCTTATACTCTGGAGGAAACCAGAAAACCCTCAAGCCCAGTTCAAGAATAAGCATGTGGAAAGTTACTTCTTCAAAAGCAAAAGTATCTCATATCATCTCTTCTCCAATTGCTTCTCTTTATCCTTGGTGCTATTTATGACACAATGAGAAGAAGAACAATCAACCGGAAGCCGAAGTCGAACCTCCGATCCAGGTTGCTTGCTTGGAAGTCTGATTGCTTACCTTGTCTGTTACCTCATTCGGCAAATCTCCTAGCTTGGCGACTTAGAGGACTCCTACAATAGGGTTTGTATAGCACTTGACCAAGCCCGAAACTACAAGTAAGCTTCAAGTGAAATTGATACATTACCTTGTGCAACTTCATCGGTTAAAGATACCACCCCTGGATGGAGGAAAAGTACTTCCAGAGAAGATGCCACATCTACATATGAGACAGATAAGGCAAGTGAAAATGATACCACACTTCGGTACTTAGAAGTTTCGTGATTACTCAATGGCTTGGATCTTGCAAGTCCCCAACCGAGGAGCTTCCCTCACTCGGGAACTTAGGGGAGCACTGTTTGTACCATACTTGACCAATCCCGAAACTACTGAGCACCGGTCAACGTTATACCGTCAAGGACCCAGAAGACTTTCCCTCCAACCAGAAAGCCAATCACAGTGCGACTCGTGTCGACATCAGAAGCCAATCATAGCGCGACACGTGTTAACATCAGAAGCCAATCACAACACGACACGTGTCAATGTCAGAATGAAACTAGAAACTCTCTTCTATAAATAGAGATCATTCTCTCACAATATTTCTTAATGTCATTTGTACTAAATCATTCACTAGTACTCACTAAAGGAGAGCTTGAACCTATGTACTTGTGTAAACCCTTCACAATTAATGAGAACTCCTCTACTCCGTGGACATAGCCAATCTGGGTGAACCACGTACATCTTGTATTTGCTTCCCTGTCCCTGTCCATTTACATATTTATCCACATTAGTGACCGGAGCAATTTAGCGAAGGTCACAAACTTCACACTTTCTGTTGTACCAAAGTCCTAACTGATTTTGTGCATCACATATTTTTTTGGGCTCTTCATTGATTTCTTGGAAGTCAAAGAGACAAAAGACTGTGTCTTTATCATCAGCGGAGACCGAGTATCGAGCCATGGTTGGAACTTGTTGTGAATTATCATGGCTACGATATTTATTGAAAGACCTAGGTATACTACATCAAAGACCGGCTCTGCTCCATTGCGACAATAAAGCAGCTCTTCACATTGCTGCTAACCCAGTTTTTCATGAGCGAACTAGGCATATACAAATGGGTTGTCACTTCATCCGGGACAAGATACAAGATGGTTTAGTTGTTACAAGATTTGTTCCTTCTTCCAATCAACTTGCAGATGTACTCACAAAGCCATTAGGGAAGGAAACTTTCTCAAAGATCATTCACAAGTTGGGAGTTCTCAATGTCCACTCTCCAACTTGAGAGGGAGTGTTGAGAAGTCAATGATATCATTTATGATATCTTGGCTTAGTTTTAGGAAACTATTTTGTAAATTGTTTGTAATTTATTTGTGAATTTTTGTAAAACCTAGAATGTAGGCTAGGTTACTTCTTCGACAAGATCTCTCTTTGTATAAAGTCTCTCAGTAGCAATTGAAGAAATTATCTTCTGCAAAATATTCTTTGCACGTTTTTACATTTCAAAACATTGCACTTTAAAAAATAGAAGTCATACATAATAATATTTTTGTATTATATGCTCTGTGTCTGGAGAAGATAACTTTCTTCTACAAAAAAGAGACTAGGGTCCTATAGCTGCATCTGATCGCCCGTCTGCATGTTCAAAATGTTAGATGAGACGTGATCGGTGACGTGATCCTCCTCGATTTCTCAAACCACAGCCAATATATAATGAATTAGGATTCTCTCTCATCATTTTTTATCCATTTTCATCATTTATCTTATTTTATTTTTCTCTTATTATAAAAAATTAATATATCTTATTTTATCTTTTTTTTACTATAAAAAATTAATATAAGATGTTAACGTGATTTAACCGTGACCATTCAAATAAGAGAAAAGATAAGAGGAAAGAAAAAAAGAGGGAAGATAATCCTACTCCATATATAATATCACTTGTGCACTTACCTAATACTTAATGGAGTTTGCATTTCAATTTTCAACGCTGGTAGGTGCATACTGTTTTGAGTAATTCACTGGAGCAACTATTAACATTAGAGAATATTCTTGTTTACCACCACCCTTAAGTGATAATCATGTTCTACATTTTATTTATCACAGTTTAAATTTCAAAATTTGTGTGGTAAATAGATACAAATATCAAAAGTTAGACTCATCCAATACTAATAAATAAGATGATGACCATTACTACCATTTGAAAATGAAGAACAAAAATGCACCCATTGACATTAATATATAGTAATATTTGATGTCAAGAAATGTTCAACCTTTTCACTGGATCATTGAAATGTGAATTTTCATTTGGTGTGATCAACGGCGGAGCTAAAAATTTTTCACCGGGTGGACTAGCTTAAAGATTTAAATCTTTATAAACAAAAAAACTTGATACAATATTTTTTACAATATCAGCTAGCTTAAGAAATTTTTCACAAGATGAGCCAAGAACTTTCGTTATTCAAACAAATTCAAACTTGTACATGTATAAGAAGCGAAAAAAGATGTGAGAAAAAAAGATAGTTTGCAAACTATATTATATAATTAAAACAAAAGAATTTGAATCAGTTACTAAATATATGGTGAATTACATTCGAAAATCAATAAAAATTACATGTAGAATTTTATTTTCTAACAAAAGCTACTTGGGCTACAGCCTAGGCAGCCCTTAATGTGGCTCTGTGTTTGGGTGTGATCCGGATTCTGGAATAAAAGCCAACTCACAGCTCCTTGACTTTTGTTTTTTCAAATATCTTACATAGGAAAATGCCAAGATAATTCCAATAAATTGTTAATAGATAATTATCATGATAAAAAATGACAATATTATCTGTCAACAATAATTTGAAGTTATCTTAAGCTTCTCCATCCAACAACTTAGACTGCATAAGACAATGGTGTTTACATACGAGTAATGTTATACTTACCATCTATTTGTATCATCTCTTTAATAGAAATAGAACACGTCAACGTATGTGGATTCCATCTCTATTAGAGAAATAATATAAATAATGATACAACTAGATTATAAAAATACCATTTTTATTACATAATTTAACTTGTTTTGCCGGATCAACTAAGAGAAATCTTTTCAAACACCATCTAAATAATGAATAAATAAACAAATAACAAGGACTCCATCACCTGCTACAAGTGCTCCATTACATAACTTCTTGTCATGTTGTATTCGGCAGAGAGACTTTTCTTAGTTCGTTCGCCATTGGTTTGAAGGGTTTACATTTTGTGGTATTCCTTCTTACTTTAATAGATAATGCAAGTGGTAACGTACACAGAGAACAATATAAGGAAAACTAATGAAAATGACTTGAAAACTTGGAGTTTTAATGATAAGGACAAAATAAAGGGTAAAGTGAATAGTACCATGATTGACTTTTTAATGTAAAAATGTGATTTTTCGTTAAAGTGAACAGTACCGAGTACTTTTCGTTAAAATTCCCAACAATATATTAATTGAACCATGTGAAATCCGTTTGTGTTAATTTAAACCATCAAGTATAACCTTATATTGAATAAAAACCACTTTTTTTATAAGAAAGTTTGGATTTGTAAATTATCATTCAATTTATTTATATTTTTTTTATTAAAAATGATATTACGAGAGTCAAATTTACACATTTCTCGTACCCATAAATGCTAAAGGGACCCTAAACAGTGAGACTCTTGTGAACTCTCGACAATTTAAAATCCATTTTCGTAACAACGTTACAAAATATTGTTGTGGTGGGTGAGCAAACAAATCCCTATATATTGCCAGTCAGTACACCCATTAGTACATCCATCTCTTCCACTCTCAGTCCTTCTCCCATCCTCTCTCTCTCTCTCTCTCTCTCTCTCTCTCTCTCTCTCTCTGCACCAACACCAAATCCAACAAATGTGTTCGACCGGAGAGAATCAGATGACTCCAACCCAAGTCTCCGACGAAGAAACCAACCTCTTCGCCATGCAGCTCGCCAGCGCCTCCGTTCCCCCCATGGTGCTCAAGGCAGCCCTCGAGCTCGACCTCCTCGAGATCATGGCGAAGGCCGGGCCTGGCGCTTTCGTTTCTCCGGCGGACTTAGCTTCGCAGCTGCCGACCAAGAACCCTGACGCCCCCGTCATCCTGGACCGCATGCTGCGCCTGCTGGCCAGCTACTCCATCTTCACTTACTCCCTCCGCACGCTTCCCGATGGCAAAGTAGAGCGGCTGTACGGCCTCGGCCCCGTCTGCAAGTTATTGACAAAGAACGAGGATGGTGTGTCCATTGCTCCTCACTTACTCCTAACTCAGGACAAGGTCCTTGTTGAGAGCTGGTAATTACCGTTATTCTTCTTAGTTTATCATCTTAATTTGATTGTTAACAAACATTAATTAATGGGTTTTAAATAGGTTGATTAGAATAAAATCATAAAAATGTTACTAACTGCGAGTTGTGGCTTGAATATGTGATTGTTTTCTATTTTTCCTATTGTGTTCTTCTTTGTTCATTTTACTTTGGCCGATTTAGTGGTTGGGGACGGACATGATTCGAAATTTATCACACCACAGTGTTTCTACGTTTTAATTATTTTATTTTTCCATAAACGGCGGATGTGAGTTAGTTTAATTAGCTTAAATTTCTTTCTCTCTCGTTTTCATAAAAAAAGCCAAAAATAAAAATTTATTCTCGACTTTAAAAAGGTACTACTTTGCACATACTATATGCTTTTGGTTGTGCAAAGCTGCTCTCCTATGGATCTCTGATGGCTCATAAGAAAAAAGACCTCATAAGTCATCAAAATGAGAACCATAGGTACGGTAGATTAAGTAAAATAATTTCTGTTACACGGAAACAAATACTAATTGATAAAACAAAAATAAAAAAATAAAAAAAAAAATTTAACGTCATGTTGAATCTCTTCCATCTGCAAAACATAGTCTCTAAACAAATCCAATTACATAAAACATAATAACTTTTTCACATTCAGTTTCCTCTAATCTTTTATCAATACTATTCAAATTGAGATTGGGTGGTTTTGAAAATTGGGATCCTCTTCTTATTGAACATATAAACCCCTTTTTATATGAAATTTTTCGACGATAGTGAAAATTTTGAAACAGCTCCATCTCCCTTTTTTATACGTTAAAAGAAAAAAAAAACAAAAAACTCTGGAGGAAAGAAGGGAGTGAACGATCATGAGAGAGAGATGGAGAGACGAAGGCGATGTGGAGGAGAGAAAGGGTAGGGGAAGAAGATGAAAGGTTTAACGCATTTTTTTTTAATTTAATCACTTTGAAGAATTATTGTGTTTCAGTGCAGCTATTATTTAAGTTGATAGTTTAATCTATCATAAGATTAATATGAGAGCTCGTATATAAAAAGATCTCATAGATCCTCAAAATGAAGACCTTAGAGCAACTCCACCCTTGGAGCCCTTCCCCTGGCAATTCACTATTGAATCCACCATATTGAACAGTAACTGCCTTTAATGATTAGTAACTACCATTAATGAACAGTAATTACCTTTTGCATCTCCACCCTTGGAGTCCTCCCCCTATCAATATGTAATAAAATATTAGTTGTTTTTGTTTGTTTAAATAATATAAAATATAAAAAAACATTGGAAATGGGGCTGCAGGCCCACGGGCTGACACAAAAAAAATTAAATAATGCCTGGCCCTCGGGCTATAGGCTGGTGGATTCCTCACGGGCCTTGTGCTCGGGCTCCCACCCTCACTCGGGCTCTCCATGGCTGGAGCACTGTCCACCGGGCCTCAGGCCCTTTCTTCTCCCATGTCCCCCCGAGCAATCCACATGGGTGGAGTTGCTCTTATGAAAGCAGCTATGCATATGTCATACTCACAGCCAAACATAACTGCTCTGCTAAGGTCCTGATTTTGAGGACATGTGAGGTTCTTTTTAATATGAGCCATTAGATTAATCTAACAGTACATTAAGCTATCAACTTAAATAATCTCTGTCACAGAGAAACAAAATCCTAACTGATCAAAAAACACAAAAAAAAAAAAAAAATAGGATAGAAGAAGGTTTCACGTCATGTCGAATCTCTTCCATCTAGAAAATCTAATCTCCTCATCAAATATCTAAAAGTCAATCCAATTGTATAAACCCTAATGATTGTTCACATCAATTCAATTCCATCTTTTTTCAATAATATCCAAACTCAGTTAGGTACAAAACCTCAAAATTGGGTTCCCCTTCTTCTTGAACGTGTGAACCCTTTTTTTTACATGAAATTTTCTGACGGTTGTGAAAATTTTGAAACAGGTCATTCTCCCTTTTTCATATGTGAAAAGAAAAAGAAAAAACTAATGAGGAGAGAAGGGGAGTGACCAATCGAGAGAGAGATGGAGAAATGAAGGGGATGTGGGGGAGAGAGACGGTTGGAAAAGAAGACGGAAGGTTTCACGCGAGAATTTTTTTTAATTTAATCAGTTTGCAGAATTATTTTGTTTCGGTGTAATAGGAGTTATTTAAGTTGATAGCTTAACCTACCCATAAGATTAATCTGAAAGTTTATATGAAAACAAAACCGCACAAGTCCTCAAAATAAGGACCTTAAGAGAGCAGTATTCGTGACATGTATGCTTGTTTTGGGCTTGTGCAGGTACCACTTGAAAGATGCTGTTCTTGAAGGAGGAATTGCATTCAACAAGGCCTATGGAATGACTACTTTTGAGTACCACGGCACTGACCCTAGATTCAACAAGGTTTTTAACAAGGCAATGGCTGACCAATCTAGCATTGCCATGAAGAAACTTCTTGAGACCTACAAGGGCTTTGAGGGCCTCACATCCGTCGTTGATGTTGGTGGTGGCATCGGCAGTGTTATTCACATGATTGTCTCTAAGTACCCCTCAATTAAGGGCATTAACTTCGACTTGCCTCATGTCATCAAAGATGCTCCCCAATATCCTGGTATGTTCTTCGTTTCTGATAATGTTTGTTGTTAGTTACTGTTTGGGCCTGAATAACAACTTGAGCTGAGATGAGTTAACCCAAGGACCATGGTTCTCAGCCTAGTAAAATCTTTCAAGTTAGTGGGATTTTTTGCCACGAGTAGGATCAGTTCGACCGAGTCCTCATGGAGGTAGAACTATGAAAAGGTTAAGTATAGGGGTGACTTGGTCGAGTCCTACACAAATTGAAATTGCAAAGATCGGTATAAACTAAGGATAAATATGAAGTATTCCAAGGATCTGAATGCCTATACGACCATATAAAGATGAATGAATCTCACCATGGGACTAGGTTTGGAGTTCTAATGAGAGTTAGAGAGGCCAAGACTAAATAGAGATGAACTTTTGGCTAAGAAGGCATAAGGGGAATATTCAAGCAAATATTGAGCAAACACAATCCCATTGGGATTTTGCCTCGGCATACTTGTTTATCATGAAAGCTTCGCGTATAAATAGAAGAGGCTCTTCAACATTGAAAGGCCCTTCAACTCAACAAACAAACGCTCTACACGAAAACCCTCGCTCTACACAAAACCCTTCTCACACACCTAAGAAGAACACTAACTGTCCTAACCCAGTGGAGCAGTAAAACCAGACAATTTAGGAGCATCTTCAGTTCGGATAGGTGAACAACATTGTTGTTTGTTGGTAGGTTATTTATTCAAGTCTTGGCAGGTGAAGAGTGTGCAATTCTTTCGCCTAAATAGGTCATCTCAATAGCTCCTCAGCAAAATAAGGTGTTACCAAATTACCATTTGTTCGGCACAGTGAAAGTCAAACCAGTTATTGAACCTCACAGTGATCTAGTAAACTTGTCTTCAGGTTCTAGAACCCAAGGCCGAGACGTGTTCCTTCCTCTACCCAAATCGTTCCGGTGTAGAAGTCAGCAATGCATTCCCCACTACCACCACATCGATTATACTTGCCTAACCAAGTTCGGTTGTGAATTGGCACGCCCACATTCGTTATTCTTAAGTTAGCTCATAATCACTCGGCATGCGCACCAAGTAGACATTGTAATTTCCAGTGTCAACAGTTACTTAAAAGCATATTCACCTTTACACTCGATCTCTCTCAAGTACGATTTCTCTTCCTCTAATATTTGCTTATATAAAAACAAATCATGGTTGTACTATTTATCATTTTTCCTTATGAATATGAGGTCTATGAATGTTGGATATAGGTGTGGAGCATGTTGGAGGAGACATGTTCGTAAGTGTTCCAAAGGGAGATGCAATTGTCATGAAAGTGAGTTATTATTTATCCAAAAGAGAGTAAATGACTATTTTGTAGTGCTAATATCAATTTTTTTAAGCTTAGTTGCTTAATATATTTGGAACTAATATCATATCGTGTATGCAATCTTATAGCATATATGTCACGATTGGAGTGACGAGCATTGCTTGAAACTTTTGAAGAACTGCCACGCTGCGCTCCCCGACAATGGGAAGGTGATTCTTGTTGAGATCATTATTCCGGTATCTCCAGACAGCAGCCTTGCCACCAAGTTAGCTAACCATATCGACGTGCTCATGTTAGCTAACAACCCCGGCGGAAAAGAGAGGACGGAGGAGGAGTTTGAGGCCTTGGCTAAGGAATCTGGATTCCAAGGCTTCCGCGTCATGTGCTCCGCTTTCCACAGCAATGTCATTGAATTTCTTAAGAAGAATTTGATATAACTTCGGCTATGGTATGCTGCCATATGCATCCATATTGCTTTGGTTTTTGATATAGTGATCGCATGCGGATTTTTCACCATAAGTAGACTTTCATGTATTCCACAAAAAGTAGTAAGAAAGGGATTTTATGATGCTTATATATTATAAATTTGGATTCATACTTATGCAATGAGGTCTAACACAACAAAAATCTGGTATGTATGTATGCGTGTATGTATGCGTGTGAGCGTGTGTGTGTGTATGATGAGGCTAGTGCTGCTGCTGGGTCTTGAACCATGTCCTTTCTTGAAGTCCCGATTCCAAAACTTCTTATAATACTCAGTGTAGGTGTAGCCTCAATATATGGCTACATATCCATTCTCCGTGAGAGTTTTTGTTGGGCTTATCAGAGCATCGTCTTCAGGGCAGAAGAATGAAGCTACTGATAGCCTTGCTCTATCAATATGGGTAACGGCTCGATGCCACACACTTTGTAAATCCCATTACTTAGGGCCTGCATCAACTAATAATTTTGAATTTACAATTACATTGTAAGCACAACGTTTTTTCTTTTTGAAAGAACTTATGTTTTGAGAAAATCTCATTCACTCATGGTCAATTTAATTTACATTTTGATCTCATTTATGGAAATCGTTGATATTCATGTAAAGAATTAGCTTTTACAGTTTCAATTTTAGGGTATAATATGATAATTATTATGTGAATATGCTTAAAGAATTGATGAAAAAACCTCATTTCTTCAATTTTATTTAGCTTTGTTTGAATTTCTCACTATAGATGATTGTTTTAGTGTGTAAATTAACAATTGGATAGTGTTCGAGTTTGAATTCACAATCTGATACTAATAACCTAAAGTCACAGATCGAAAATGCTATTTTTTCCCTTAAGACCATCTCCAAACCTGGGCTAAAAGCCAAATTACCCCCCCCCAAACACTCTCCAACCCATGTTAAAATTTTAGGCTAAATGCCAAATGTTATTTCTGGGCCAAATACCCCCCAGCTTCCCCCCGGGCTAAATGCCAAATGTTTATCGGAATTTAAATTTTTTTAGATTAAAATGTTCATAAAATTAATTTATAATAATCTACATTTTTTTTAAATTGATTTAAGAAAAAAATTAGCCTAAGTTCTTATTTTAATAATTCCGGGCTAAAATTTTAGGGCAGAAAGGTTGGAGCAGAAAAGATGTTTTGGGCTAAAAGCCAAATTTTCCGGGCTAAAAAATTTGGCTTTTAGCCCAAGGGTTGGAGATGGTCTAAGTAATCAACTCTCAACGAATAAGATTATAGTTAATAAAATTGATGGCGAGTGTATGGCTTCAAAACATTCCACTTTAAAAAACAACAGTAATACTGTTTGGACCCAAATTTACATCATTGTTCCATGCGATCAAGGTTGTTGAATGAGTATAGCTCCTAACCATCGGATGAAAAATGAAGATAATTTTGTTATTATTAAAAGATAATATTATGATTTTTTATCATAATAATTATCATTTAACAAATTATCTTGATATTTTCTTATACGGGAAGTAGTACAATTCAAATAGACTTGGGACTCCTATTATCAGATTGTGCAGCATGGTGATAGTGCATTAAGATGAGGTTTGAATGGTCAAGATGCATGGTTTGAAGTCAAGATAACGATGCAAACTAGAATATCATTGGTACATGGAATTTGGATGACAGAGATCCATGGCATTTAAATATTATAACCAATCTTTGGATTAGATTCGTGTTCTACAAAGATGAAAGGAGCACACAACATTGACCCGAGGAATCTTGACTTTGAGGGATATTATCAAAAGGGTTCTTTATCACAATATCTTGACGCTAAGAGTTATAATGGTATTGGAATACTTTATTTCAGTGGCTGAGCATTACAAAATCTATAAATAGAAGCAATGGCAACGACAAAAAGGACCTCCAATTCAACACACAATTGCCCTGCGCAAATTCTCTCAAACAACCTTGAGATTTTTTCTTTTCTCTTTTCGCCGACACACCTTTAGTTTGGATAAACAGTACTGTGAAGGCAACCGGCGAACATCTTCAGTTTGGATAAACAGCATTGTTACCACAGAATCAACCGATCGTGAAGCACATTTAGTTTGGATAAACAGCACTGCGACGGGGCCGACTGGTTATCTATCCAAATCTCGGTCGAGAAGGATTTTTGAATCCTTATTGGCAGAGGTCATCTCATTAGCATTTTCGACGAAGTGAGGTGTTATTACATTCGGCACATTGAAAGCCGAATTTGATATTGAATTTCGTAGAACTAGCAGCCTTATTTTCAAGCTCTAGAACCCGAAGGCCGAGAGTGTTCCTTCCTCGGTTGCAGTCGCGAGATTTAGGAGTCAGTAGCGCACCTAACGCAACATCAACATATTTTACTCCTCGGCCGAGCTCGGCCGAAGAGTTGGCACACCCCGCACACAACCAAATAACGTAGTTAGCTCATAGATTACTCGGCCTGCGTGCTACTGTAGACATCGAAATTTCGGTAAATAAATGTTGACCGATAAATCAAAGTGTCAACGCTCATGTATTACATAAATTTTACACGTAACGTGTGACTCAACGAAAATTGAAATGAGTTGGAAAAGTCATCAAATAGGACACGTGTCAACACCTGGCAGAAACGACTTATTTCATCTAGGGTATTATATTCAAAATTAGGCTTTGGAAAATTCTATAAATACAAGCCCATTTCATTCATTTGAGGAACCAATTCATATTACACCTTGAAGCTCTGAAGCTCTGAAACTCCGAAGCTCTCAAGCATCCAGGTTCCCGAAGAATCAAGAAAGCCTTCTTCGTTCTTCGTTCATCGTTCTTCCAAGATCAAGCCCCGACGGCCCTTTGGATCAACAATCATCCACCAATTCAAGATCAAGCCCCGACGGCCCTTGAAGAAAGTGTTCTTCGTTCTTCGTTCATCGTTCTTCCAAGATCAAGCCCCGACGGCCCTTGGATCAACCATCCACCAATTCAAGATCAAGCCCCGACGGCCCTTGAAGAAAGCACCATCGTTCATCATCAGTTCATCCAAGATCAAGCCCCAACGGCCCTTTGGATCAACAAACGTCGACAAATCCACACATCCAACCGTTCTTCAAGATCAAGCCCAAAAGCCCTTGGAGATCCGTTCGTCACTGTTCTTCAAGATCAAGCCCAAAAGCCCTTGGAGATCCGTTCGTCACTGTTCTTCAAAGATCAAGCCCAAAAGCCCTTTTGAAGATCCGCTCAAATCCACCTTCAAGATCAAGTCCACGGCCCTTGAAGAACGTTCATCCTTAGATCAAGCCCAACGGCCCTTTGGATCAATCACACATCCACAAATACACACCTTACAGAGATCGAATCAGAGGATCAAAATAGAGAGAGATTGTAACCCAAAATCTTCAAAAAATACAAATATTTGTTTGTGCACGTTGTTCTTGTCTCTTTCGTTTCAGGAATTTTCCGTGTTCACAAATTGGCACGCCCGGTGGGACTTTCTCTGCCTCTCATCTCTTTCTCCGTTCAAGAAGATCAAAACGCACTTCCAAAATTAATGGCATCAAGGAAGGCTCAAACTGCTCCCGCAACTGGTGTCACTTTGGGCATCACGACTCGAAGCATGGCAAGAGCTACTTCTGCCACCTTTTTCACCTCTGCATCAACTCTACCAAGGGAACAAGAGCACCCAAGGCACAAGCCTTTGATCACCTTAGCCTCACTAAGGGCACCAAGGGGGGGAAGCCCAAGGAAATACTCCGAATCCATGCTCTCCGATGCCGATTCAAGCGGCAGTGCAGCCATGCAAGTCATGACCATTGGAGCAACTTCAATCGATGAGCAGCTGGCTCAGATGAATGAAGCAATCGCAAGGCTAACCCGAACTGTGGAAGAAAAAGACTTGCAAATTGCAGCACTCATCAATCGACTAGAGGCGCAGGACGGCGATAAACCCGACCCAGAGAATGATCCACTAAAGAGAAGAGAGGACGAAGAAGAGGAGCCTCAGGTGGAGAAAAACGATGCGAAGCCGGAGCCAGACCAAGCAGCGGCACTCATGGGATCTCTTTCTATCCAGCAGCTGCAAGAGATGATCACCAACACCATCAAGGCACAGTACGAATGGAGCTCAAATACCTCCGGGTTGTACTCAAAGCCGTATTCAAAGAAGATCGACGCCTTAAGGATGCCGAGGGGTTATCAACCACCAAAGTTCATGCAATTTGATGGAAAGGGAAACCCGAAACAGCACGTTGCCCACTTCGTTGAAACTTGCAACAACGCAGGAACCGAAGGGGATTACCTCGCCAAGCAGTTTGTGCGCTCGCTGAAAGGAAACGCCTTTGAGTGGTACACGGATCTGGAACCTGAGTCCATCAACAGTTGGGAGCAATTGGAGCGGGAATTCCTCAATCGCTTCTACAGCACCCGCCGCACTGTGAGCATGCTAGAGCTAACGAGCACAAAGCAGTGGAAGGACGAGCCAGTCATTGACTACATCAACAGATGGCGCACTCTGAGCCTCGACTGTAAAGATAGGCTCTTAGAAACCTCTTCAATCGAGATGTGCATCCAAGGCATGCAATGGGGTTTGCAATACATCCTTCAAGGCATCAAACCACGGACCTTCGAGGAGCTAGCCACCCGCGCCCATGACATGGAGTTGAGCATCGCCCATCATGGGAAGAAAGAACCGATCGCCGACTACAAGAACGACAAAGTTCTTGGGACAAAGGGGGAAAAGGCTGCATGGAAACCCACCAAGGAAGTGATGACGGTCAACACAGCTCCCGTCAAAATCTCCACACGGGGCAAGGCGATTCAAACCGAAGCTTTTCGTGATCAAGAGATGCGTAGACGCACTTTGAAGGAGCTTGAGGAGAAGATTTATCCATTCCCCGACTCTGATGTGGTTGCCATGTTAGAAGACTTGCTGGAAAAGAAGGTGATTGGTTTGCCTGAGTGCAAACGGCCAGAAGAGATGAATCGCACTGACAGTCCAAGGTACTGTAAATTCCACCGCTTCATCAGCCATCCGACAGAAAAATGTTTCGTGCTGAAAGATCTCATCATGAAGCTGGCTCAGAAAGGAATCATCGAGCTAGATCTTGACGATGTGGTGAAGTCAAACTATACCACATTCACTTCTGGCTCTTCCGACTCAAAGTTTTCACCTCAACCGCTGGGGGCATCGTCCAAGACAAGCAAAATTGAAGGATGGACTCAAGTCACTCCTAAGAAATTGCACAAGAAGCATACGTCTCCTCCACAAGTCCGCCAATCGGAAAGGGGGCAAAGCAGCTCTTGTCAACCTTCAAAGCAACGTGAATGTGTTGAAGATGATGAAATTGCGACACAAAGATCGTCCGTTGCCATCACGATGCGCGACTTCTTGCCCGAAGACTTCTTCAATCACGCAGTCAAAGCTCCTTGCTATGAAAATTGTGAGGAACGCCTCTCCCGGATTGCTTGACGAACCAACAATGCTCCTTGTTCGCACGAGCCTAAACTGCACGAACCAAACGCTCCTGGTCTGCACGAGCATAAAAGGCAACACCAACGCTCCTGGTCTGCACGAGCATAAAAGGCGACACCAACGCTCCTTGCCTGCACGAGCTAAAACTGCAACACGACACCAACACTCCTTGCATGCATGAGTTAAAACTGCAAACGGCACAAAAAGAAAATACCCAAAAAAAAAATGTATGCATTTCGAACTACGTTTTGACTTGATCTCTTTCTTTGGAAGGGTACGTAGGCAGCTTGAACATTCAATTTTGAGTTCAGTCACATCAAAATAAAAAATAAATGCTTTATTGAAGAAGGTCAATTTTATTACAAATATATATATATATATATATATATATATATGGACAGCAAGAGGCAGGTCTTATCAGTTGAGAAAAAAAGCCCAAATGTCAGGCGCAGCCTAGGATAGCGCCAGCCTCTCCTCCAAACAAAATCTGGCCCAAGCCCACTCTCACTCTTTGTCATTTATCAAGGGAGAGACCAAGGCCTGCTCAAAATTCGCTTACAAATCCAAGCCCTACTTGTCCACTTCAAGCTCGGGTCTAGTTCTTCATCATCATCACCTGCCGGTCGCATACCCAGATTCTGCCATGGCCTCCGAGGCCTTCTGGTTCGGAACTCTGCTGCAACCCAGATTGCAAAGTTGCTGATTTTGCAGAAAGAGAGCGCACTTGGCCTTTCTCTGCCTGGCCTGCGACTCTAGGATCCACCCCGCCAACAAGCTCACCACAAGCCACCAGCGAGTCTGGATGTGTGGGGTCTGCCAGCAAGCCCCAGCCGTCGTCACCTGCAAGGCTGACGCCGCTGCTCTCTGCGTCAGCTGCGACACCGACATCCACTCAGCTAACCCCATCGTCCGCCGCCACGAGTGGGTCCCGGTCGAGCCTTTTTACGACGCCGCCGAGTCTATCGTCGTCAAGTCAACAACTGGCCCGTCATCCGCCGCCGCGGCTCTCAACTACCTCGTCCCAAACGGAGACGTTGTATTTAAAGACATTGAAAACAACGCCGCGTCGAGCTGGCTGATCCCCAACCCGAATTTCAACTCGAAGCTCCATATGGATATCGCTCCGGACATCCTAAAGTCCTCCGATGATCTCATCTTCCCCGAAATTGATTCACTGCTGGAGTTCGATTACCCTACCTCAGTACACACTATTTCGGGTTCGGGTGCGTGTAATGACAGCGTTGTTCCGGTTCAACCCGACCCGATTCCACCGCCATCGTTCAACATGAACTACAACATTTCGGGTCCCGCCGATCACAACTGCTTCGACCTGGACTTTTGCAGAAGCAAGCTCTATTCTTCATTCAACAACCCCCTCAATCTCCACTCCTACAAGCACTCTGGGTTGGCAAACAAGAAAACCGTGACCATTCAGGGTGTGGGCAAAGATCAATCTGTGCTGCTGGCAACAAGTAAGTCCAAGAAGCAGAACAAGCCTGCTGCTCTGCTGCATAAGTCTGTGATGAAGCAGGAGTTCCGCAGGATGGCGAAGGCGGTCGGTAATCAGGTGGCGGATAACCATTACAGGCCGGATCTGAAAAAAGCAGCCCTTGCAAGGTTGAGTGCTGTTCACAAGAGCCTCAAGATTGCCAAGTCTGGTGTCAAGAAGAGGAACAGGCAAGCTGTTAAAGTCTATGGCAGGAAATGAGTAATGGGGGCTTCGGAGATTTCAAGTTCGTCACCATCAACGATCCCAAGCCCAAGATCAACGGATGAGATTCGACCGTCTCGGACGATGATTGGGGTGACTTCGTAACTGATAGCACGAGTCAGATCAAAGCTCAAGCGCGTCATGGTCAATCACGACACCGACAACGATGACTTCATTTTGCCTCGACGAGTTCAATGCCTTCTGGGTCTCCGGCTCCAAGGACAGCGGCGCCGTTGAGCTCAAAGACTCATTCGATCTCCAAATGACCACACTTACGATGCCATTTGACTCTGCCAACGCGCTAATGCGACCGTCGATGACGACGAGAGTCCAGCACAGCCTGGGCCACCCTCCGCCGCAGGCGACCGCCAGGGCCGCATCGCCCTCCTTGATCTCCCACCTTATGTCTTCTGCCAACGATCAGCGCTCCCAGGCGGAGCTCCTCTTCAACCTCTGCAAGCTTGCCGTACTCTCCCCCATCCCCGGCGCTCAGATCCTTCAAGCCATCTTTGCGGTTGGGCTGGAGCCACATACGGGCTTGAGGTGGCTCATCAATACGGTGTTCACGGGCAAGCTGGTGTTGTTTCAGACGACATGAATGGGCCCATTAACAATGAGCGGCAATCCCCTTCTGCCCATCAGTACCAAGCAGCAACGGCGACGGCAAAGTCTCCGACATCAAGGCTGCACCGCTCTTCTCTTGCACCCTCCTCCGTCTCTTGCCTCGCAGCTGCCACCAACTTCAAAGACCGCTGTCACACGACTAGCTGGTCGTGAAGCTCGAAGCACATCTCCGTCCGCCTTCGTCCTTCCCTGCAAATTCCCCATCCCGTCATCAGAATTTATACAAAAAAAAAATATAATAAAAAAAAAAAGGGTGGTGGAGCAAAACAAAGTGGTGCTGTCACCACGTGAAAAAAAAAGGGAGTGCATCAGGCACCATGTGCAAAGAAAAAAATAAATAAATAAAATAAAAAATAAAAGAATAAAAAATTTACATATAATAATTATAAAGTGTCTTGGTGCTGGATCAACACCATTCTGAAAAAAGAAATATGTATATAAAAATGTTTAAACTTTGGTGCGGCTGGCACCATAATTAAAGGTAATATATATATAATAATAATAATAATAAATATATATATATATAATAAATTTATAAAAAAAAAAAAAAAAAAAAATTGATCTTTGGTGCGTCTGGCACCATGTGACAAAAGAAAAAAAGAGAAAAAAAAAAACAAAAGAAAAAAAAAGGGATGGTTGTACAGCGTCAAAAGAAAAAGAAATAATATATATAGATATATATATATATATATATATATATACATATGTGTGTACATAATATATATATAGCAAAAAAAAAAAATTGCATTGAGAGAAATAAAGTCCATTTTATTTATTTTTCTGGAAATTTTGCATAAATTTGCATTATACATACCTTAAAAAAAAAAAAAAAATCAAATCAAATTTACAAGAGGGGATCTTCAAGGACGATCAGGTGCCGCCTCACCACTCGGCAGAGCTCCAGAAATGAGAGGCGCTGGAGGTTGACTGTTTGAAGCCTCACCACTCGGCGGAACTCCAGGAAGAAGAGGAGCCAAAAGTTGATCATTCGGAGCTTCACTACGCGGTACAGCCCAAGAAGACGAAGGTAAATGTTGTTGGAACAAACCCACAAACCTCTGATGATCAAGTAAAATCTGACCATCAGATTCCTGCATCTGGTCAATCTTCCTCTTCATGTTTGTCGCATAGCTATGTGTGAGCTTATGTAACTGTTTATTCTCCTGCTTGAGCCCTCTAATCTCCTGTTTGAGACTCATCACTTCAGCCGCCAATGATTCAACTTGACGGGTTCGAGCAAATAGGCGTTGGGCCATATTAGACACAGAACCTGCACACTGCACACTGAGAGCCAGAGAATCCTTAACAGCCAACTCATCAGACAGTTTGGAAAGTAGTCTGTTATCTCTGGGGGTGACAAGGTTTCGGGCCACCACTGCAGCGGTCATATCATTCTTCACCACCGAATCCCCAACGGTAAGAGGACCAGTGGGGGATATGAAGGATGGGCGCCATATGTTGTCTGGAGAAGGCGGGACTGCCTCTTCACCAAGATTCAAGTCAAAACGACGGTCGGAGGGTCCAGACATTTTCAAAGTGTTGAAGGAAGAAGAGATCAGACAAATCAAGATCTTAGAAGTACAAGAGGGGAGTTTTCACAAGCGAAAATTCAAGTGTGCTTTGAAACGAACTGCATGCCTCTATAAAAAATCAGCACTCGACGAGATTTCAGAGATCGAAGAGGCGAGCTCAGAATTAGAAGAGGCCATTCAAAAATCGAAGAGGCAAGCTCAGAAATCGGAGAAGCATCTTGCTTTTCCAGACGTGTCGGCACCCGTCACACGCAAACTCAGCTTTGCGGAAATCACGGGTAATTTATCGAAGCGCCAATCCCAGATATCGAAGAGGCGCCAGTCTTTTTCAGCCGCGTCATCACCTGTCATATGCACATTCAACTTTGCGCAAATCACGGGCAATTTGTCGAAGATTTTCGGTGAAGGAGAAAACACGTGAAGTTTACTGTTCAATCACGCGTTAGTTGCCGACACGAGTGAAAGAATAGTACCTCTACAGGTATTAAGGGACCTCCTATAACTGTCCACCTTCACCTTCCATAGCAAGGCAGACACACAGAGTTTTTCTTCATCTCCAAAGATGTTTTCCCAACGAAGCCTCTCGAGTCATTCAGTGTTCCTTATTCCTTGGGGTACCTCTGCAAGCCAATGACTCCAAAGCAAAAGTATCTCATATCACCAGGGTAGAAAGCAAGAGTATCTCATATCATGTGTTCTCCCTGTCCTTTCCTTTGTCCTTGTTCTTACCTACAAAGACAAGGATAAAGAAAACAATATGTCGGAACTTCCACTCAAATTCGGGTAAGGAATCGACTGCTTGGAACCCTTCCCTGTTTGCCTACCTAGCACTGCTCTCGAGTACTCGCCTTCCACTGCTGCTGTACTTTCAAAGAAGCTGCCACATCTGCTTGGAGGACAGATAAGGCAAGTGAAAATGATACCTTGCAGCATGTGGAGACAAGGTGCAGAAGGAACAAGCAGAGAAGAATGCGGTCTGCACGATCAACTCAGCAGAAGGAGTCCGAACTGAGGAACTCGAGAAGCTGCCACATCTGCCTAAAGAAACAAGCAGAGAAGAATGCAGCATGCACAGTTAACTCAGCAGAAAGAGTCTGATATGAAGAACTCGAGAAGATGCCGCATCTGCCTGAGGACAGTGAACTCGTTTTGACCCTCAAATTCTTGGGTCGGTTTACTAGGCATTGTGGGCTGCACGTGCCGATTCACCACCCTTGAATCGAATCCTTAAAGATCAAGTCACCAACTGGAAGAAAAGCCCATCAATCTTGAAGATCATACCGTTGACCAAACTGCTCAGGTGTGAATTAGAAGGATTGAACAAAGAAACAGGTTGTCACCTTCACCTCGTGCCTGCTTGCCATGTGTTCGAGTTAACCTTCAAGAATCAAGCCTCAACGGCCCTTGAAGAAGCTTCCAGCCAAATTCAAAATCAAGCCTTGACGGCCCTGGAAGAAATCACAAGTCCGATTCAAGATCAAGTGTCTACCACTCTTGAATCAAAACCTAGTTCAAGAATAAGCTGTGGAAAATCAACAATTGGAGGAATCCAGAAAACCCTCCAACCCAGTTCAAGATCAAAGCTGTGGAAAGTCAACAAGCGCAACAAAATACGTGCCGATTCACCCACTACCAAAGCCAAAGATCATCTACCACATGAAACTCCTTGTGGTCCAATTTCAACCTTCAAGATCAAGATGGCCCTTGAAGAAATTTCAAACAAAAGTTCAAGAACAAGCCTCAACGGCCCTTGAAGAAATCTCAAGCCCAATTCAAGATCAAGCCTCAACGGCCCTTGAAGAAATCTCCAGCCCAATTCAAGATCAAGCCTCGACGGCCCTTGGATCAACATCTACAGTAAGGGACTTCAAAACACATCTCTTACACGTGACAAGCACATGTATACGACGCGCCTTGAAGTGGGGGCATTTGTAGACATCGAAATTTCGGTAAATAAATGTTGACCGATAAATCAAAGTGTCAACGCTCATGTATTACATAAATTTTACACGTAACGTGTGACTCAACGAAAATTGAAATGAGTTGGAAAAGTCATCAAATAGGACACGTGTCAACACCTGGCAGAAACGACTTATTTCATCTAGGGTATTATATTCAAAATTAGGCTTTGGAAAATTCTATAAATACAAGCCCATTTCATTCATTTGAGGAACCAATTCATATTACACCTTGAAGCTCTGAAGCTCTGAAACTCCGAAGCTCTCAAGCATCCAGGTTCCCGAAGAATCAAGAAAGCCTTCTTCGTTCTTCGTTCATCGTTCTTCCAAGATCAAGCCCCGACGGCCCTTTGGATCAACAATCATCCACCAATTCAAGATCAAGCCCCGACGGCCCTTGAAGAAAGTGTTCTTCGTTCTTCGTTCATCGTTCTTCCAAGATCAAGCCCCGACGGCCCTTGGATCAACCATCCACCAATTCAAGATCAAGCCCCGACGGCCCTTGAAGAAAGCACCATCGTTCATCATCAGTTCATCCAAGATCAAGCCCCAACGGCCCTTTGGATCAACAAACGTCGACAAATCCACACATCCAACCGTTCTTCAAGATCAAGCCCAAAAGCCCTTGGAGATCCGTTCGTCACTGTTCTTCAAGATCAAGCCCAAAAGCCCTTGGAGATCCGTTCGTCACTGTTCTTCAAAGATCAAGCCCAAAAGCCCCTTTGAAGATCCGCTCAAATCCACCTTCAAGATCAAGTCCACGGCCCTTGAAGAACGTTCATCCTTAGATCAAGCCCAACGGCCCTTTGGATCAATCACACATCCACAAATACACACCTTACAGAGATCGAATCAGAGGATCAAAATAGAGAGAGATTGTAACCCAAAATCTTCAAAAAATACAAATATTTGTTTGTGCACGTTGTTCTTGTCTCTTTCGTTTCAGGAATTTTCCGTGTTCACAGCTACGTAGGCTTGGTAGTTTTTAGGGTCAACAAATACATAATAATATTTTTGTATTATATGCTCTGTGTCTGTGGAAAAGATAACTTTCTTCTAAAAAACAGACTAGGGTCCACTAGCTGCATCTGATCAGGCTGTCTACATGTTCAAAATATTGGAGTAGGATTCCCTCCTTTTTTTCTTTTTTCTTTTTTTTCCCCCTTCCCTTCACTCCCATTTTATTTGAATGGTTACGGTTAAACCACGTCAACATCTTATAACCTCAAAATTAGGTTCTTCTTCTTCTTCTTGAACGTGTGATCCCTTTTTTTACATGAAATTTTCTGACGGTGGTGAAAATTTTGAAACAAGTCCTTCTCCCTTTTCATACAGGAAAAGAAAAAAAAATTAAAAAACTCATGAGGAGAGAAGGGGAATGAACGATTGAGAGAGATGGATAAATAAAGGGGATGTGGGGGAGAGAGACGGTTGGAGAAGAAGACGGAAGGTTTTATGTGAGAAATTTTTTTAATTTAATCACTTTGCATAATTATTTTGTTTCGATGTAATAGGAATTATTGAAGTTGATAGCTGTTGGAAAATTAATTATTAGTTTATTTTTGTTTATGGTTTTCTTGTGGGACAAGGATATTAGAATTTTCTATATCCTTTAAGGATTAGGATTTTGCTTTAGTTTTCACTATATATAATAGAGCTTATAATTTAGTTTGAGAATAAGTTAGTCGCAATGTAGTCTCTTAGGGTTTTGTAGCCGTTTCGGCATTCTCAGTTTGTTTAATAATATTCTTATTATTTTGTTAGTCTTGTTCGTTGCGCACTTTGATATTCAACTTGGTATCAGAGCAGGTTTGATCCTTTAGGATCAATCTGCTTTGGTTTGATATCAATTTGTTAGTTGAAGTAAAAAAAAAAAAAAAATATATATATATATATATATATATATATATATGTCGTTGTTCATTGTTGTTCATTCGTTTTTGTCCCATACTCCGTTGTCTGACCTGCACCCACGCAACTTGTTTGATTAACCTGCACCTGGTCCGTATACCCGCACCACCATCTGCTTGCACCCATATCCATTATACTATCACTGCAATCTGACCTGTTATTAAACGAATTCGTAAACGACGTGCACCACTTGCATCGCTCTGCTCTGGTCTGCACCTCCCCATATCCTTTAGGATTTTGCTTTAGTTTTCACAAACTCTGCTTCTGAACCTTTGAACGCTGCAACCTTCAGGAGCATCCCACAAGTCTATATTGCTGCAAAGCAAAAAAGAGGAAAAAGGAGAATGGAATAAAAAAGAATGAAAAAAGGGGGAGTGAAAAAAAGGAAGAAACAAGAAAAAGAAAAAAGAAAAAATTGCTTGATTGTTTGAGGCTTAGGCCCACATGGGCAAGAAAGAAATATGATTTGTTTGGTTTGTCTGTCGTTCTCACCATGATGATCGCTCGAGTGCTTGGACTGATGATCGCTCGAGTGACGTTACGAAAGTTGGATTTTTTGTTTTTTGTTCAAGTTTGTTCGGAAGTTGGAATTTGCATTGGCATTAGCATCGACATTGGTATTGGCATTGGCACTAATATTGGCATTGGAATTGGCATTGACACTAGCACTAGAATTTGGAGTCTTGCATCCGCATCTACTTGTTGGCAAACTCATAACGTGTACCGCCATGAGTTTGACGGGAGGTGTTGGAAAATTAGTTATTTAGCTTATTTTTGTTTATAGTTTCCATAAGAGAGCAGTATTTATGATATGTATGCTTGTTTTAGGCTTGGGCAGGTACCACTTGAAAGATCTTGTTCTTGAATGAGGAATTGCATTCAACAGGGCTTATGGAATGACTAATTTTGAGTATCATGGCACTGACCCTAGATTCAACAAGGTCTTTAACAGGGCAATGGCTGACCACTCTATCATTGCCATGAAGAAACTTCTTGTGACCTATAAGGGCTTTGAGGGCCTCACATCTGTCGTTGATGTTGGTGGTGGCACCGGCAGTGTTATTCACATGATTGTCTCTAAGTACCCTTCGTTTAAGGGTATTAACTTCGACTTGCCTCATGTCATCAAAGATGCTCCCCAATATCCTGGTATGTTCTTCGTTTCTGATAATGTTTGTAGTTAATTACTATTTGGGCCCGAATAACAACTTAAGCAGAGATGAGTTGACCCAAGGACCATGGTTCTTAAAAAGGTCGTAAAATCTTTCAAGCTAGTGGGATTTTAGGCCACGAGTAGGATTCGTTCGACCGAGTCTTCATAGAGGTAGGACTATGAAAAGGTTAAGTATAAGGGTGATTTGGTCAAGTTCTACACAAACTGAAATTGCAAGGATTAGTATAAATTATGGATAAATATGAATTAACCCAAGGATTCGAATGCCTATGGGACCAGAAAAAAGATGAGAATCTCATCATGGGACTAGGTTCAGAGTCCTGATAAGAGTCAGAGAGGCTGAGACTAAATAGAGATGAATTTTTGGCTAAGTAGGCATAAAGGGAATATTCAAGCAAATATCGAGCAAACACAATCCCATTAGGACTCTGCCTCGGCATGCTTGTTTATCATGAAAGCCTCGCGTATAAATAGAAGAGGCTTTTCAACATTGAAAGCTCCTTCAACTTAACAAATAACTCAAACGCTCTATGCTAAAACCCTAGCTCTGTGCAAAACCCTTTTCACACCCCTAAGAAGAACACTAATTGTCCTAACCCTCCAATCAATACATCTTTAGTTAGTACAACTGAACAACACTATTGACAACTGGTCACATCTTCAGATGGATTAACAGCAGTAGAGCAATAGAACCAGACAATTTAGGAGCACCTTCAATTCGGATAAGTGAACAAAATTGTTGTTGGTTGGTAGGTTATCTATTCAAGTCTCGGCGGGTGAAGAGTTTTTGCAATTCTTTCGCCTGTCATATCATTAGCTCCTCAGCAAAATGAGTTGTTACCTAATTACCATTTGTTCGGCACAGTGAAAGCCAAACCAGTTATATAACCTCTATCTAGTAAACTTGTCTTTAGGTTCTAGAATCCAAGGCCGAGATGTGTTCCTTCCTCTACCCAAATCGCTCACGTGTAGAAGTTAGCAGTGCATTCGCCACTACCACCACATCGATTATACTCGTCTGACCAAGTTCGGTTACGAATTGGCACACCCACATTCATAAGAATAGCGTAGTTAGCTCATAATCACTTGACATGCGCACCAAGTAGACATTGTAATTTCCAGTGTCAATAGTTACTAAAAGCATTCACCTTTACACTCAATCTCTCTCAAGTTTGATTCCTCTTCCTCTAATATTGCTTATATAAAAACAAATCATGTTTAATTTGTACCATTTATCATTTTTCCCTATGAATATGAGGTCTATGAATGTTGGATATAGGTGTGGAGCATGTTGGAGGAGACATGTTTGTAAGTGTTCCAAAGGGAGATGCAATTTTCATGAAGATGAGTTATTATTTATCCAAATGAGAGTCAATGACTATTTTATAGTGCTAATAACAATTTCTTAAGCTTAGTTGCTTAATGTATTTGGAACTAATATCAAATCTTGTATGCAATCTTATAGTATATATGTCACAATTAGAGTGACGAGCATTGCTTGAAACTTTTGAAGAACTGCTATGCTACGCTCCCCGACAATGGGAAAGTGATTCTTGTTGACATCATTATTCCGGTATCTCCAAACAGCAGCCTTGCCACCAAGCTAGCTAACCATGTCGACATGATCATGTTAGCTCACAACCCCGGCGGAAAAGAGAGGACGGAGAAGGAGTTTGAGGCCTTGGTTAAGGGATCTGGATTCCAAGGCTTCCGCGTCATGTGCTCCGCTTTCTAGACCAATGTCATTGAATTTCTTAAGAAGAGTTTGATATAACTTTGGCTATGGTGTGCTGCCATATGCATCCATATTGCTTTGGTTTTTGATATGGTGATCCCATGTGGATTTTTCACCATAAGTAGACTTTCATATGTTCCCCAAAAAAAAAAGTAATAAGAAAGGGATTTTATGTCGCTTATATGTTATAAATGTGGATTCATACTTTTGCAACAAGGTCTAACACAACAGAAGTCTGGTATACAAGGGGCAGATCATGTGTTTGTGCTGCCACAAGCACAAAATCAGGACCTCATGTATTTTCTCGACACTCAAACTTACCTGTCAACAGAATTCAACACACAACCGCTCATACACAAGAACACTTCTAAAATACGGAAAATTGGCAAGAAAGGAATTATAATATGACATTTATATTATTTTTATGACATACCTGTAAAATTATTATTCAGAATGTTCATTCAAACTAGTATCATGATCAAGAAAGTAAATCAACCAAATTACATAAGCATTCATACCGGCCATGAGGAGCCATAATCAGATAGGCAATAATTAATAGGGAACTTTAACGAAAAACACCCGGTACTGTTCACTTTAACGAAAAACCACATTTTTACACTAAAAAGTCAATCCTAGTACTATTCACTTTACCCTTTATTTTGTCCTTATCATTAAAACTCAAAGTTTTCAAGCCATTTTCATTAGTTTTCCTTAATTAGGGAACTTTAACGAAAAGCACCCGGTACTGTTCACTTTAACGAAAAACCACATTTTTACACTAAATAGTTACACGCACAAAATTGACCCCATTGTTATAGATTCTCTAACACATGCATGTTCCACGTACAATTGCAGAGTCCACTCCTATTTTAAAGTGCATCAGTACTCAGCAATATGATTAGTTTTTTGCATATAAATAACGTTATTGAATACAAACGCATATATATATATATATATATATATATATAGAGAGAGAGAGAGAGAGAGAGAGAGAGAGAGAGAGAGAGAGAGAGAGAGAGAGAGAGAGAGAGAGGAAGCCTTTAAGGGAAGGGATTCCCTTTAAAAAAAATAAAAAATAGGAACACTCTCTTGACCATTAGATCTGGCTTTAATGAAATTATGTGTTTAAGATTATGTGGTCTGTAATTTAATCTCAACCACAGAATTTCATTAAAGCCAAATCTAACGGTCAAGAGGGTGTACCTATTTTTTATTTGAAAAATGAGGAACCCCTTCCTTAAAGGCCCGTATATATAGGCTAGGGCTGTTGCTGGATCTTGAAAAGGTCCAAACAATGATCTTTCTCCAAGTCCCGAGTCCAAAACTTCTTATAATACTCAGTATAAGTGTATCCCCTATATATGGCTGCAGATCCATCCTCTGTGAGAGCTTTTGCTGGGCTTATTAGAGCATCGTCTTGTGGGCAGAGGAATGAAGCTACTGAGAGTCTTGCTCTCTCAGTATTGGTAACGGCTCGATGCCACACACTCTTGTAAATTCCATTACTTAGGGCCTGCACCAACCAATAATTTTCATTTCACAATTACATGCACAATTTGACAATTTGAGATTCTGTCTATACACAACTTTTGATTTCACAATGATTGCATAGAATTCGAGTTTGAATACACAATCTAATACTTATAACCTAAAATCAAAGATCTAGCGCGTAATTTTTTACCTAAGTAATCAACTCTCTCAACATATGGGATTAAAGTTAATAAAATTGATGGCCAGTGAGATTTCTTCAAAACATTCCACCTTATCAAAAAACAAAAAGACGGTATACATAGAATTGTTTTGTGTTATATGTTACCTGTAATTGGTCACCAACGTTAATGACAAAGGCATTAGGGTGGGGATTGACAGCAACCCATTTGCCATCTTTGAGAACTTGAAGGCCAGCAACTCCAAGGTCTTGGAGCAAAATTGTTAGGGCATTTGGGTCGGTGTGGCCCGGCAGTCCATAAGTCAGCTCGGGCTGGGGACACGGCGGGTAAAAGTTCACCGCCATGTGCTGTCCTTGCTCGCCCAGTGCGCTCTTTATGTAATCTTTCTCCAGCCCTAAACTCTCTGATATTAATTCCTGTAACCTGTATCCAAGTTCTCGAACCTCTGTGCAGTAACTACTCACAGTGTCCCTGCAGCTCAAAGGGATTCATGTAAGAGATTGAAGGAGCAAATCAAAGCCCAATTTCGGCCTCAACAGGCCCAAATTTAAGTTTGGTATTCGGAATCATGCAATCATGTTTTTTTGGGTGAAAGTGTTTTTACGAAGGAAATTATATTTTCTAACACGCCCTTGAATTTTAATAGCGTTTAGCTCACAAAATAGGGAATATTTTAGATCATCACCCTAAAGCGATGTTTACCATCTCATTTATAATCATTAGAAAAGTTTAAATAGGGCTAAATTATATTTTGCCCTCTCAAATTTAGAGTCGATTTCAATTCCTTACAATATCTTTAAAATATTTTACCTTTATACCTCACCTACTATTTTATTTCAATTTCATACATCTGTTAGAAAACTCAAACTATATGAATGTTGTAGGTTAATATATTTAATATTACTCTCAAATTTGTTATCAGAACCAACTCTATCTTAAACCCAATCTATATACCAATTCCAGATCTGATACCACCAACCACCCAATCTCACCCATTCGATTCCTTCGGCGGTTTCTCTGAAATCTCCAAACTACTCATTTCTCTCTCCAAAGCCCCGGCGCCCTCTTCTTCGAAATCGCAACCGTCTTCTGTCCGGCGCCCACATAAGAACTCGTCACTGATGCAGAGCCCGCCGAAAGCTTTCCCTAGAGAACGACATGTCGGTCGCCGTCCCCATGGCCTCGCCTAGTCGCCGGCTCGACTTGGATGACCAGCCATTCCTCAATTCCAGGATTAGTATGTCTCTCGATTTCTTTGTAAAGATATTAAAATTTAACTCCGTTTATTGAAATGATACCGTGATTATTCTCCAATTAAAGTGTAATTATGAATAAGTATGTTTATTTACAATTCGATTTTGGCTAAATGTGATAAAGATTAAAGCTTTACTTAGCTTTGGTTCAATACGATAAGGTGCAAGAGAAAGGGATATGTTGATAACTAGGAGGCAAGCATGCCTTCTCCAAGCATGACCAAGCATAGAACGAGCAGTGTGAAAATTTTCGGGGTCGAATTGTGCCTGACAATGTGGTTGTTGCCATGGTATTTTGTTCAAGGTGTCCTAGGCCTTGCAGGGCTTGCTGTCAGTTTTTAACTTTCCATTTAAAAGACGATTTGCATCTCAACCTGGCTGAGGTACATTTACATTCACACTTTCTGTTGTTTTTCGGAACTGGCTTGCTTTACATTTGTAGCTGTAGTTATTAAAAGTGGCATTCTTGATGAATTGTGAACTTAAATTGACGTTGGTATGCACTAATCGGTAAAGAATTTGCTTTGAGGATTCTGATTTGTATGAAAATGGTGCTAACGGGGTACGATAATGGGATTCTAGCTTTGAATTATTGATGTGAGACATTGTTTTTCTTTGATAAGTGAATTGTTTGTATAGTTTTGGTTTCTGACAAATTTACATGTGAAGGATCTCCCTCAATTTGTCTCACTCTCATTTTCAATTTTGATGTCCTCGAAGACTCAACGATGCTATCTTTGAACCTATTTTTGTTTGTTTTCCTAATTTTTTGGCCTTTTGTTTATAAAAAAAAATCTTTGTTTATGGTATTGGTTTGGTTAATCTTGTATAGTATATATTTGCAGAATTATACGTAGTGGCTCTATTTAGTAGGTTCATAATTTAATCATGTGTTTATTTTCTCAAAGGACTCCTCTTATTAAAATTTTGTCAAGAGTTCAATTTCAAAGGAATGCTTGAGTAGAAAGGTTTAGAGGCAGAAACTCTATTCACTTTTCTTGATTGAGATCAAATGTATATTTCCACCTATACGAGTACAAGATGTTTTTTCTTGTGATCCATATGCTTATGTCCATGCAAATAGAGAGACAGCAATTGCTAAGGCGCAAGTGTTGGGGGCAGTAGTTCATTCTCAAGGTCCTTTGTTTGGACATGTTCAAAGAAATGTGAAATCTTCAAGTGTTCTTGTTATTGGAGGCCTATTTGATCCTATGTGGATAGTTTGATATTTCTAGTATAACTCATCGTTAGCTTTAGTGTGCACTTTATAATATTTGATTTTGCGATTTGTTTATATAATTATTATATTGTAGTAAGTTTGTTTAAATATTAAATGATTTATTTTTATTTTTGGAAATTTTTTTATGATGGTCATTAGCCATGTTCAATTTGTAATTCACAATGGCCATAATGAATGTGGTGTTAGATCTCAATCTACCACGGGTACAATCCGTGTTTATCTCACATTTGACAACCGTCATAGTCTGTGGTAGAAATTAAGACTTTTTATCACATCCAGATTACTAACGAGCATAGTGCCCGTGATGGATTGCAATCTATCACGGGCATTGACCGTGGTAGATGAGCTTTTTTCTACTAGTGGGGTGGGGGGTGTTAGGGTTGCAGGAAAAGGGAAGGGCTCGAGAAGAAGATAGGTTTGTTTGTTTTTTTTTTTAAATTTTAATAAATATGGTAAATTATTATAATATTTTAAATGAAAAAATATTTATTTATTTTTGCCACGTGGCACAAATTTGGTAGCCACGTCAGTACAAATGTGGCAGCCATGTCAGCTCTTAACAGATCAATGGATGAAAAATATAACGCATGTACTATATTGAAATAAAATAGTAGGTGCGGTATGAAAGTGAAATGTTTTAAAGATGTTGTAAGGAATTGAAATCGACCTCAAACCTGAGGGGGTAAAATGTAATTTACCCTTTAAATTTGGATCAATAACATCCCACACATTAGACACGACAAAGTTTAATATCGACTCAGTCTCAACTTGGAGAAAGAGTATTGATGACAAAAAGAGGATGTCTTAAACTGCAAAGTGGTAAGGACATGGATACTCTTCGGATCCATGCATCCTAATCCTTGGGATCCATCAATCCGGCCCATTGAAATTTGATCTAACGACTAAAGTTATTATAACTTTTAAAGTGGGCCCTTGTTTATAGTCGTTAGATTAAATTTCAATGGTTTGGATTGGTAGATCCCTAAGATTAGAATGCATGGATCCAGAAAAAATCCATGTCCAAGTGGCAAGATCAAAAGAGATAACTATTTTTGGAAAGTTCAATATTGCCATGGCATCACTCTATGAATGGGGAACCGTATTTACATGTAGCCAATCATTCATCAACCACCTTGTCCGTACCTATGTCAACACGAACTACCCCAAGAGTAGTTCCACCGGACACAAAATTGCCCAGCACCCTGTCCAAAAATCAGCCCAGCACCTTGTTAATCTGGTACAGCCCGTAAAACAGTCTGGCACCCAGCCCAAGCCAGGCAACAGACCAGCTCATTTTGGACAAACTCAGAGGTTGGCCTATTTGGTTGGCGCGTGCAGTACACTCGCGACTGGGTGTGAGTAAGAGACAAAGGTGCAGGCGACGGGGCCTTTCTTGTCAGCCCACTTGTGTTCACCCGGATTAGAGCTACGTGGCCCTCCTCAGTGTCGTTGGATTTCCAATCACAGATCAATGGTCCACCTTTTTTCACAAAAAATAAAAATAAAAATAATAAAAAAAAGGCCCAACGGTTAGAATTATGACCGTTAGCCACATGGCAACGCCTTGGCTCTTGGATTTGAATATTTTTCAAATCCAACGGTCCAAATTAATTTACTATATTAAAATTTATTAAAAATTATGAAAAAATACAGAAAAATTATTACAAAATACAGAAAAAATTTTAAAAAATATAGAAAATTTAAAAAAAAAAAGTTTTTTTTTTCTATAAATACCTAATCCTCAGCTTCCACCTTACACCACATTTCAATATTTTCTACACTTTCTACCAAAGCTTTCAGTGGGGATTGCAAAAAGGTGAAGATAATTAAAATAAGCTTGTGGTTGAAGAATAAAGTGTATTTTTTGAGTTTAATGTAATTTCATTTTATTGTTTTTTTTTTTAGTTTATTTGATGAGTTTATGTAATTTTATTTTAGTGTGTTTTTTTTAAGTTTATTTGATGAGTATGTAATTTTATTTTAGTGTTTTTTTTTTAAGTTTATTTGAAATTTTATCCGAAATTGGTTAAAAATATTATCCGAAAATAAAACTATTTTTTTATTTATTCTTTAAAAAAATATATAATATTTTAAATGGGCTGGATGCCAGCACATTCTGTAGGGATGGAGATCGTTTGTGCCAACGCATTTTTAGACTGGGTGCTAGCGCATTTTTTTAGGGGTGGAGATGTTTTAGCCTATTACTGTTCATTGAGGTTTATTACTATTCACTTGAGTGGATAAATGCGCTGGATGCTGGCGCAAAGTCTTTAGGGGTGGAATTGCTCTAATACATCACCACTCCACTATACAATAAACCGAACCACAATGCATCGACGGCTAGGATCTCCCCTTTCTTGACCTAAAATATCATCACACCGTCAATCAACCACGATTCCCGTATGCAAAGATTTTTAAATCAGTAACATGTAGGCCCAGTTGTCTCAATTTTTTTTTTTTTTAAAGACAACATGTGTTAAGTTACAAATTCGAAGAGACTTTTGGGAATTTCAACCTACCCATGGGTACAGTCAAGCAGACTCACTAACTCGAAGCATCAAACCCGATACCTCCCACATTTTCTTGTTCAAAATAAAAAGTTCAATTTTGCTAGTTCAAAGATACAGGTGATGATTACCTCCTTATTTATCAAGGTTTGATTAATTTAATTTAACTGATATAAGATATAAACTTTGAAATTAAAAATAATTTAGCCACAATCTGTGAGCATCACTCTCAACTTCAGAAAAGTGAGCACAAATTCACCCCAAGTGAGAGAATATCATCCAACAATAAGCCACCGCCGTTGATCGTGCCCGATTAGTAACAATGAACTTCAAAACTTCGGACAAGATTTTTGTTCAAAAATAAAACTTTAGACAAGATAATGCCTACTCTGTCCTAGATTCGGACAAAGTTAACGTGCATCCATTTTCCTCCTACAATAATCAGAAATGGCTGCAAGTGCTGCCGACTAAACTATAATTTTTTCTTTCTTTTTTCTTAATAAACTACTGAGAAGATGTGGCCAATATGTTAAGAAGCTACTAATTGGTAATTTAGCTATGTCAAACAAAATTAAATCATGAACATATGGCGGCATATGTTAACTAGAAACTACTAATTAGCAAAGCTGCATAAAACTATTTGTGTGTTTTAGCTGTTTAAAACTTTCTGGAGAACCTATGTGCTAGTTTCTTCATGAAGGATCGATTTTCTACAGTTTAGATGAACATCGTACTTTCAAGAACGCCATGTGGGCACATGCCAAGTCAATGCAGAGTCATAGCATTTTAAAAGGGGGGAAAAATCAAAGATAAAAGATTTAGAGGTGATTGTCATTAAGATTATTAGATCCAATCAAGGCCAATTAGTTGTCTCAGTTGTTATATGGTGTATTTATGTGTAAAGAAAAACGACTTTTAATAACTGAACATTGTTTAGTAAACCCTAGAAACCACGTACCCAAGTGGTTAAACCCTACAAACTAAAAGCTATACAACTTACATCTGGTTCCTTTAATAATATTTCACTTTTCAATGTACAGAAAGAGATCTTAGGATTTAAGAATGTCCCCTGTAAATATTAGAATATGAAAAGAATAGAACTAAACTTTTATGATTATAAAATTTCTTGTGTCAGACGTAACCAATAACATCACATGTAACGAAAAAATGACGTGAATTCTCTGCAGCTTAGTTATTTTCTAATGCCAAACTCTTTTTATTAAAGACCTATATGATATATAGCACGCTATGAAATACATGTAATAACAAACAACGTGGCAGACAGCATAGCTTTTTCCCACAGAATAGTACACCAATGGTGTCTGATGCATCTCTGAGAAAGAAAGAGACAAATAGTTGCGAGACAGATCTAGAGAGAGAGAGGCGTACTTGAAGGAAGAAGGATTGGAGGGCCACTCAGGAACGTACTTGTCCAAAGGATAGCAATGGAGTCGAAGATAATCTCTCCAGTTATGAACCTTCTCCTTGTTCACATTAAAACTTGTTGAAAGTCTCATGGTTTTTGAGGGATCATCTGAGTACAACTTCAACTTTTCCTCCACAGGAAGGCTAAAAAACTCATTGGCCACCCCTACCATTTTTTCCACTCCTTCCGTTGACACCCCATGATTAATAACCTAGCACCAAATTCACCCAAATATCAACACTCACACGGATACACACACACACAAACATTTCAGTTTGTGCAAAATGCGATTGTTGAGTTTTCGCAATAATTAAAGTGAGATGGGGATCCATATATAAGATGTTAATGATGAAGGGAAGAGGGTACCTGAAAAAAGCCATAATTTTTGCAAGCATCGCCAATTTGCTGCACAGTTTGGGCTCTGTTAGGAGAAGCCAGGTCAATGACTGGAATGTTTTGGCATTCAGACACTTCGGACAAGCCAGGCCGGTCGGATTCTGGTCTGACATAGCTTTCCGGCACGTTGGAGTCTGACTCCGGAGGAGAGGACTTTTGCATCCATGTTTCTGTATAAGTTCGAAGGGGGAGACAAAGGCAGCAATAAAAATGCCGTCTCTCTCTCAGCTGCTAAGCTTAATTTAGAGCTAGTGAAGTTCTAGGAAGTTGCACAGCTAGTGATTTGCCCATTGTATTTATAGGAAAAGGTTCCCGAATCCTTTTCTTGGGACCCAGAGAATCTCATAATTGTGTTCGTTCATCGTATATCGTGCGATCAGAAATTATTTGAAATTTAAAATTTAAAATTTAATATAAATAATACCTAACGAAAACTAATCGCACAATGTACGATAAACAGAATCCCTTGAATCCTAGGAAAAGGATTCAGAGTTCACTTGTGAATAATGTTAGGAAAATTAAATTTAGGGTAAACGACTGTTTACTACCTTCATATTTTGTGGTTTTCAACGTTTAGTACATCAAGTTTTTTTTGTCTCGGAGTCATACCTAAAGTGTAAATTTTGGGACAGTCTCATACATCCGATAGTCAAACTGTTCAGTCTCCCGTTAACTGTGACGTGGCGCCCATGTGGACATTGACTAAGCGCCACGTGTCATTCACGTTTTTTTTTCTTCTTCTTCTTTCTTCTTCTTCTTCTTCTTACTGCAACTTTTTTTTTCTCCCTCCTTCTCCCTCCTTCCCCCTCCTTCCTCCCTCTTTTCCTTCTTCCTTCTCCTTCTTCTTCTTCTACTTCTTCTTCCTCGGGGAAGATTTTTTTTTTTCTTCTTTCTTCTTCTTCCTCCTTCCTCATTCCTCCTTCTTCCTTCTTCTTCTTCTTCTTCCTCCGACTGAAACTTTTTTTTTTCTTCCTCCTTCTTCTCCTTCTTCCTTCCTCCTTCTTCCTTTCCCTTCTTCTCCTTCTTCCTTTCTTCTTCCTTCTCCTTTTTCTTCTTCTTCTTCTTCTTCCTTCGAATCTGGGGAAGATTTTTTTTTTCTTCTTCCTCCTTCTTCCTTCTCCTTCCTCCTTCTTCCTTCCTCTTCTTCTTCTTCTTCCTCCAAATCTGGGTTGCAGATTCGGTTTTTTTTTTCCTTCTTTTTTCTTCCTTCTTCTCCTTCTTCCTTCCCCTTCTTCTTCTTCTTCTTCCTCCGAATCTGGGGAAGATTTTTTTTTTCTCCTTCCTCCTTCCTCCTTCTTCTTCCTTCTTCTTCTTCTTTTTCCTCTAAATGCAATTTTTTTTTTCTTCCTCCTTCTTCCTTCTTCTTCCTTCTCCTTCTTCTTCTTCTTCTTCTTCCTTCGAATCTTGGGAAGATGAAGGTTTTTTTTTTTCCTATATATATATATATTATTTATTTATTTATTTATTTTATAAATAATTTATTTTTAATTTCTACTTGGATGACACGTGGCGCCCAATCAATGTCCACGGAGACTTAATAGTTTGACTAACGGATGTATGAGACTGTCCCAAAATTTACACTTTAGGTATGACTTTGAGACGAAAAAAACTTGATGTACTAAATGTTGAAAACCACGAAACATGAGGGTAGTAAACAGTCTTTTACCCTTAAATTTAATATAAAATTTATAAATTAAATGATGTGTTATTAATAAGAAATGAGCACATTTATTAACGCTTAAGTAATTATACAATCATCAATTTCTATATTATTTAGTTTACAAATTTAATTTCGTGATCTTGCATAGCAATATTTATGTACACCTAATGTGGGAGAATTGGACAGCAAAGTCGCTTACGTAAAAACTACAGACAATTAAATTATTAATTATGTCTTACTTTCTATCTTTTATTTGGTAAGCAAACGATCAAATTCTTACAAAATACAAATGAAAGGTAACGAGGCAAACCAAGACGCGGTCTCTCTCTCTCTCTCTATGTGGACTCCTCAGCCGCCGCCCCTTGCTTTGCTTGGGGCAGGCAGCAGCTCGTTATCTCTTTTTTCTCCTCATTTCCTCCTTTCTTTTTTATCCTTTCCTTATTTTCCTTCCCTCTTATCTCTTCTTCACTTTCCTCATCCCTGCATCCACTTCTTCTTCCTTCCCCTTTTCTAGTCTCCTTCCTTCATTTCCATTCTCGGTTATCCCTCGAGTTTTATCTTAATTTTTCTTGAGCTAGGTCCCAACATCTCTTGAGCTTGTCTCATATTTAGGCTTCATGTCTCTTATCCGTCGTATTTCGCCCACTTTTATTACTTTTGGTCTTTAAATTTTCGTTCCTTCCCCTCCCTAGCTGTGATACTTCATCTCAATCCCATCATGTGCTCGAATCGGCAGGCTCCTATTAGAAATTGGATATCATATCTACTGACCTCTCTCACTTCCATTCCTGAAACCTGCATGTCGGATCCCTAGTGTTGTGTATTTTACATACCCCTTAGCCTCACTCTCTACCCATATGCTTCTTTGTTTGTATATATTTGAAGGGCTCGTAAAGAGACTCGGTTTGGAATTTGGCTTCCTCCAAAGATGTGTCAGTGGCGGTAGTGTGGTTTTTTCTGCTAGAGATTAGGGTTTTTTTATTTTTTTTATTTATCTTTTATTTTTTGCGGCCTTCGGGCTTAAACTTGTGTGGACCTCCCGTTGTATCTTTGGTTACTGTTCTCATTTTGCTTGGCCCTGTTACTTTATCTTTAGTTGTTTATCCAATTCTTATTGAGACTAGTTTTTAATGTAATGAACATATCTTACTTGATTAAAATAATAATAATAAATAAATAAAACAAACAAACAAATGGAAGGTGGGACCTTAGGGGGCGTTTGTTTGAGCTCGCTAGCTTTCGCTGGTTTGGACTGGACTATGTAGTAGTCTAGTCTCGTGTTTGTTAACAGTCCAGAACTAAGTTTAATGAGATTAGAAGGGATTCACGGGGACTAACTCCCTCGCTAGCAAACCTGTCGAGAACCATGGGTTTAGCGGGGACTAACTCCCTCTCGTCTTCCTCTGCTCCTATGTTTTCACAAACGCCGAGAGCCACCATCATTCCCTCTCGCCAATTCCCCCTTCCCCTCCTCCTCTCTCCTCGCTTTCTTCTCTTTCTGCTCCACCGAGATCTGAGCTTGGCTCGAACTCGGTCGCGACGACGACAGTTGCTCCATCCTCTTCATGCTACAAGTCTACACGTTGCTTACAAAGTCTGCTTCTTTGCAACTCTAGCCACCTATAGCCAGATTTGAAACCCACCACACCCACCGCCTAATTCTTAACATCCAACCACCAAAATTTGAAAAGAAAAAAAAAATCAATTCGATAACAACAACAAACTCAGTAGAAAAATTCTTCATTTTTCTCATAAAATTAAGAGATTTTATGAGAAAATCAGAGGGGGTGATGAACGACAACAGCAAAGAAAAGGAAAGGGAAAATAAGAGAGAACAAAAAGGGGTGATGAATGACGTTGTTTTGAGGGAGGAGAATGGAAAGGAAAAGGAAAAGACGAAGAGAGGGAGAGGGTTGGGGCAAAATTAGGAAGAAAAAGGGATCAGAGGAAAAATAATTAGGAAAGGAGATGAGAGGTTTTCAGAATGTTAAAAGAAATAGACAGTGGTAGTAATAAAATATTACTAAATATGTATTAAATAATATAAAATATTAATAAAATATGAATGAGAAAATATAATATTAGAATTTGTTGTTATCCTGTTTTTTAGTCTGACACGGCATCAAACGCTTCACTAAGTCAGTCCAGTTTAGTCTAGTCTAAACCAGTCAAACTTAGTCCTTGAAGCTAGTCCAGTCCGAGATAGTCCAGTATAACAAACGCACCCTTAGTTCGTTTATAAGGAAGATTGCAAATGAAAAAGCTACAGGGCGGCTCTCTTCCTTGATCAGATTCTTAGACATGCATAAAAAACCCACCGGAAGTACTACTTTCATTTTGTGCATGGATTGCTAAGCGCTGGTTGAATTCTAGGATAAAATTTTCGGCGTAATCGTCACACGAGGTAGTACACCACGTGTCATTATACAAATGGTGGGATATGTGTGTTAAAAAGTTAATAACTTAAAAAATAAAATTTTCCACCACTTACATAAAGACACGTGGTGTTTCATCCGTGTTCCTGTAACAATGAAAAAAAATTTGTATTATAGAATAGAACCTTTGTCCTAACAAATTAAAAAATTCACCATATCTTTTGGAGAGCATTTTTGCTCACCAGTCTGGGTGAGCATTACCAACACATTAATTATTATTAATATTAGGATTTTAAATATAAACTTTGTGTAACACATTGTTTATCTCTAATTTAGACTCAAACAAACACACAGATTAAATCACAATCATTCAACTACAGTGTAATGCTCACAACCACCTAATCCCTAAAGCAAAAACTCGCTCTGTCTTTTAAGTTCAATAAAATACGAAAAGAAAAGAAAAAGTGCACCATTTTCCACGCCACCTAAAAAGTAATTACACTTTTTGTTTTTTGTACAAATAAAATATCCGTGACATAAATAAAAATAGGAAGATTAAAATAAAAAGATAAGTAAAAATGTTGCTAGCTAGAACAAAACTCGGTACTTGCTTTGCTTCCAAATTTAATTTACTTTTTGTTCACTTTGTGCATTGATAGATCCCAAGGGGAGGGGAGACATAATTGGTGGATTCTATTATCTTTCACAGAACCTTCAAATATATGTTGCATAACTTACACATGGCGTACTATCTAGATTCGCAAAAATCTAAACCTGTGCCATTGCCAATTAGCCATTGGTTCACAACCACAAAAGTTACCACCGCCCTCTGCGTTATCAAGGTCTAGCAATTGCAAGTGCATGCAGTTGCATCAGCCATGGAGTGTGGAAAATGCGGTTTTTGTGTGGATTAGAAATGACCAGTATACATCATTGCTAAAAACCCTAAAAGATGACAATCTATAGCATCGTGCTGTGTATCATTCAATCCATGAGATTATGACATTGCTGCGTGTGTTTTGGGCTGCTAATACTAATGGATTATGTTCATGATTAATTTTTGACGTATTGAAAACTTCAACCATGTCATAGTACTAGTTATACCTTTTGGTATTAATCATCTACAGAGGGTTAGCTTATCTCTCAGTATGTGGTGTTACAAACGTTCTAATCTTATCTTTCCGAACAAAACAATTGATCGGTCAATTACACACCATTCATATTTGCAGAGGTCAGAGTAAA